ATGAATCTTATCATACTGAAATAGAGATAGATGATGATGATGGTATTGAGGTCCGGGAATACAAGAGAATGAGCAGGCAGTAAATGTAGCTCCAGATGTGACTCCTGAACACACTCCAATTAGGACAGAGGACACTACCCCTGAGCCTGCTCTTGGACCACCCACTTTGATAGACCAGAATGAACAGAACAGGGAAGATGAAGATCATGAAGCCGATTCATCCCGTAGGTATCCTCTTAGGGAACGCCGGCCCACGACTCGTCCCTGGTTTGTTAATCAGTTCTAATACTACAATGTACATTGACATTTTGTGAGGAACACATTTAAGTGGGGAGGAATGTAATGTATTTATGTATTGTTATTGTTGTTATTTTTATTATTATCGTGTATTATTATCATTGTATTATTATTCTATTATTGTGTTATTGTAATGTGGTGCATGATGGAATGCACTTCCTGTCTCTTAGTACCTATATAAACTATGATCAAATATTATATCCTTGTTCTTTCTAATTGTCTCTGACCTTCTCTCTGAACCTTTTCTCTTTGTTATTGAGTAAAACATTACTATTATGAATATTGTTGTCTTGTCTATTTAAGCTGATTTTTGTACTACTAGTTTTGTCTTTTGATTTTTCTTTTGTGTTATTCAATGATAAGCTGTTAAGCTGTTTATTGGTGATCAGATCCTGCTAACAGTATAGAGCAATGTTATTGGCCTTGCCAGGGATTAGCATGGGTGATGACTATGTATTGAAGTGTGGTGTCTGTTACCCGAGCCAGGCGTAGGTGTATAGTGAGGGTAAAGCAGTCATTCATTATTTATTCTGTCCAGAAGCAACTCTCTTTGAGGTTTAGTGGTTTGAGAAGGAGAGGGTCCCCTAGTCTCGCATGCCAGACCCAACCCAGTATGTGAGAAAGCGTCTGGAATCATTCATAGATACTAGAAGCAAAAAATCATTGCTGATAAGATTCGTAAAGTAATTGAAAGTCTTCTAAAATTTTCTCGTAATGAGATAGTTACTACTTTAACCTCATCTTCAACTAGTCCTGTGCGGAACTGTTTGTATGATACTGCTATACCACTAACACAAATAACACCTGTTAGTCTTAAACAAAAGCATGCTATTTCTTCATCAGGAGCTTGACCTGACATGCAAGTATGTGTGTTATGTGTTAAATGTTGTGGGTTACTATAATTTTGCTGGGTACTATATAATTATAGCATTAATGAGAATTGAGAACTGTTACAACTCTTGTTGATTGTTTATTAAATTAAATTTATTTTTTATAGGTTATATATGGTTACAAGAAGAAAAAACTATACAATATGAACACTCTTTGGAGACATAGGCTTACTGGTTTAGTGCATGGAAAAATGAAAACCACAGTAGCTCATTTTTAAAGAATATACCTAAGGGGAAACCTGGAAATCTTCAAAGAGCAGCTTCACAACCAGAAGAATCCACCTAAAGGCCCTTTAAAGGGAAACCTACTGAATCTTTAAAGAGCAGCTATCACAACAAGCAGCACCCAACTCACACCCTGGACCATAAACCACATCCACCATTTACATTGCCTTCCGACTAGGCCTTGGCGGATTATGCCAGCATAATTTTGAGCATAATAGGCCCCAAAAGCATAAGCATAATGTGAGCATAATAGAGCTATAATAGAAAATTTTGAAAAAAATGCATTGAGAAGTGCAATAAACAGGCACTTACACTCAATAAATTAACTGTTTTCATGTTTAAACAGCTACTATTGCTCACAATACTTTCAAGAACTTCATAATTGAATTACTGGCTCACATTTTTGGGTGGGGCTAACTTATTATAATGAAATTCATGGGCATAATTGGGAGCATAATAGCTGATTGGTAGACCATAATAGAGCTGTTTCCTGAGAATTGTAGCATAGCATAATAGAGCAATTTTAGAGCATAATCCGCCAAACCCTACTTCCAACATCAAACCAATAGACCTCTGAGGTGAGAATGAATTACATCACAAGAGTAAATATGGCAGTGAGTGTGGTAGAGAAGGAAATAAATTCCATGGACGGCAACTTTCTATGGTGAACCAATGAGCAAAAACAGAAAGCAAGCTATAGTAAAGAATCTACTGCACATTACACCAAATCTGTTTTATGAGATGCTTGGCAGCACCCATTCCTTCTTCCAACCAACTTTTGTAGCTTGAAAGAACTCCAGACCTGCCAGAAAAATCATTTTTATAGTTTACTCCATTCCTTCTTCATTGAAGCTTGCCGTCTAAAATGGTGGCCAATTATTACGCGTAGGTGGATACCCGTATCTCAAAATAATGATATTTATAAACTTAGTCATTCACAGCTCAAGAGGTCTATAGTAGTCATAATTCAAATAAACCAGTCTGACCTCAAGATGGAGCTAGACACTGCTGCTTCTTTGTCAATTATTAGTAAAACCACATACTCCTCCCTGTCCCATACCCTTCCTCAACTTTCTCAATCAAAGCCTCAAAGGTGACCCTTTCAACATACACTAAAGAGAAGATCACTCCCCTGGGTACCATTGAGGTTTACATGTAAGTCCAATATCAAGGACAGGAAATCTCACTGCCCCAATTGGTTATTCCCAATCCTATTCAGGGCCGTAGCCAGGAACTTAAAATAGGGGGTTCGGAAATTGCTGCGCGTGAAGCGCGCAGCGAAAATTTTGACGAAAATGGGCATGGTTGAAGGCGTGGTCTTCATTTACCCATATCTCAGCCATGTGCTGACTCAGCTAAAATGGCTATCTGTGCTTCTCGCTGTTGCCAAAATGCTAATCCTTCTTTTGCAGTGCTGTTCTTCATGACAGGAGCTAATCTAAAACTTTTTTGCAGCTACAACAGGGGGTTCGTCCGAACCCCCCGAACCCCCCTGGCTACGGGCCTGCTATTTGGCTATTAATTGTTCTCTTTCCTTCTTAGGTAGAATTAAAAAACCATTCATCTATATTTTGTTCAGAGCTTGGAAAACTACGAGACATTTTTGTTAAACTTCACATTTTGTCTGATGCTAAACCACAGTTTTCCCAGCTGGTTGCTCTCACAAGGATAAAGTCCTCCCGGAAATCAGTCAAATACAGGAGCTCTCTATTGCATTGGCAATTTAAATTTGAAATGATACAGTTATTTTAAATAAAGAAAATCTTTCATTCACCCAAATTAACCTTCTCCTAATTAAACCTATACCTTGGCCTATTCTCTTAGATAAAATGAAAAGTTCCTATAATCTACGGTATCATGGAAATTTTGTAGAAACTTAGTTTTAATTTGCAAGTTTGTGAATGCATAAAATCTAAAATTTAAATTTGTAAATTCCTGCTTAGTCCCTGTTAAAACAATAGCAATTTAAGCCACAAATAAAGTTACTTAAAAGCCTCCATACACTAGGCAACATGTTGCTAGCAACATTTGTGGTTACTTTGATGTT